GCTGCCATGAAGTCAGATGACAGCCTGAGCTGCTGGGGCCCTGGGGGGGGGGGGAGTTAGGGTGATTTGGGGGGCTCAGCTCCTGAACTTCCCCTGACACCCCCCCAGACTTTCCTCTCCTCTTGGAACCAGACACAGTTAAATAGCACAAAGGCCCCAGGCCCTGAAGCAGCCGAGCAAACACACCCAGTTCCAGGCACCTCTCCCTGGGCAACACCCTGCCCGGGCTGGGGAGGCAGAAGGGGGCGAATCCAGACCAGGGAGGGGAATTGCCACTTACCCTGGTTTGCCGCTTGGGAGGAAGCTGCAGACAGGGAGGGCTGCGTCCCCTAGCGATGGTTTTATACCCGGCCAGCGGGGAGGGGGAGCGGGCAGCTGGCCCTGGGGGGCAGAGCTCACCGTTCCAGTAGTTCAGCAGAGCGGTGTAGTGTTTCCCATTCCAGTCGGACAAACGCCGCCCACGTCCCAACCTGCCCCCCCTTCTTCAGTCAACATCCGAAGTTTAGAGCAAGTCACTGCCCACCCCAGCGAGCGATCCGTAATATTGTCCTGGCCAGGCGGTATCTAGGGATCTAAACGCACACCCCTTGCCAGAGACAGAGAGAAGGACAGACAGACAGCGGTGTCTGGTGGATCAGGGCTAAGGCCGGCAGAGGCGAGGGAAACGGGAGTATGGGAGCGAGTTAACTCCAGGGACTCCTGGCAAACGCAGGGGAAGGGCTAGTGCCAGGAAACTCTGCTTCACTTTGTGATGCAGGGGGATGTGCTTGCAGCAAGGATAAAAGGCAACCAGTGTTTCCCTGTGACAAACCCCCTCCCCTGGTAGCTGACTACCCCTAGCAGGAGCCCAGATGGACAGATTTCATGCAGACCATTCTTGCTTTTGCTTCTCTTTTTTGCCAATGACAGGCCTGGCCCAAATCACTGGATTCAGTTTCCCTAGGTTCTTGTCCTGGCTCTCTGCCATCTAGTCCCCAAAACCTCTGGGTTGTTCAAAAGATCCCAGCTCTGAGTCTGCATCGGCCTCTCTCGCATTTCACCTGCCTCCCAGGGCCAGAAGGTGACTAGTTAGTTTCACCTGGGCCTCGCTCAGTTACACTCTCTGGCTCTTGCCAGGTGCCGCCAGCTGCCACCATCAGCTGCAAACCCAGCAGGGGGCACAAATTCAGACCCCAAACCTGAGAGAGTTTTGATTGAACTGGTTTTTGACTCCGTGAAATCACCTCTGTTAATATTAGGCTTTGAAAAATTCATTAGCCTGAGTTAATTTGGGGGTTCAAATTACGCAAGCATTTCCCTTTGATCGTCAGTTATTTATGAGGAGTATCGGCTTGAACGCATTCCCTTCCAGCTCAGGAATAAGGCGCTCTCCCTAACGTGGGGCTTTGCCCCGTTCCAGACGCTGTTCCCAGTGGCGAAGGGAGCCCTGGCGGGAAACGGCCAAAGGACTGGTCTGACTGAACAACAGTGTTCCTCTTGTTGGCCTCCAAGTGCTTGAGGGGGAAAAAATCACTAAACCCTGAAATTCAAAACTGGCAGCCCGGCTGGTGCCCCAGACACCCGGCAAGAAGATGAGCCACACTGAGGCATGCCCGGAAGAAAGAGAAGAGCCCAGCTGTGAACTAGACTGGGAGGGCGTTTCCCAGTGTTTAATTTGTGCCAGGGCTTGTCAGGGCTGAGCCCTGGTCAACCTCTGGGCCTGGCAGTTCAGAGCCCCGGCACCGCTGGGCTTGCTGCATCACTGATGAATGTAAAGTATTGCTTGAGCCCCAGCCCCTCTTTCATTACAAATTAAGCCCTGGCGTTGCCGCATCAGAGTGACAGATCCCAGGGTTAGGCCGGCACTGAGAGCTATTTCTGGAGGGCAGGGACTGCTCCGCCCTGAGACTGACTCCAGAGCATGTGCCCAATCCTGGCCCCTGGGGCTAAGGTGCACAATGACCATCCTCTTTGTGAGGGCCGCGGCTCGAAGCCCGGTGCCGCAGAGTGGAAGCCGGACACAGCACGTGCGGCTCGGGCTCAGCAAATAGTCAGTGTGGGTGCAGGCCGGAAAAATCAGGGGGAAACTTTCTCAAGTCAAAATTGACCCAAATTCACCCATTGTGTCACTCGCCCCGAATCTGCATTTTTCAGTGATAAAAATTTCAGTGCACAAAAATTTTGCCCAGCTACAACCATACGCACGAGCCGCCACAGTGTGAGCTAAAGGACTGAGCACCCCCGGGTGGGCTCATCTGTGGGGAAGGCCTGATACACTTCTCTGGGCGTCATATGTGCCCCGTGCACGTGAGCCTCACATTCAGTGGAGCTGGGCAGAGCCTCGTAGCTTCCCACCCTGGGGAAAAGGTTACTCGGCTGCTAGACCTTGACCCGAGGGAGCTGCTGTCTCATGGCGCGAGACGGGAACGTGGGGCCTGTTGTCCAGCTAGTCCATCCTGTTTGAACTTCTCCGGACTGCCCTGACCCAGGGGCCTCGCCCCACCCGGCAGCCAACTCCCTTAGTTAGAGGGGGTGGAGTCCCTGGCCACTAGCAAATATTCACTGCGCCCTGGGGCCTCCGAATCCCCCAGGGCCCAGCCAGAGGGGAAAGGCCAGGAGGCTGCATCTGAAAGCAGGCTGGCAAAAGGCCGAGGCTGTTTGCTGATCTTATGGAGATGCCATCCCCATAGTCTCTGCTCTGGGCTGGCCATGGGTGCTCTGGCTCCTGCCAGGTGACCTGGGTCACTTTGGCTGGGATTTGCTGGAGCAATGAGGAATTTGTAGCCAGAGATCCCAAGACTGGGCCGTTCCGGAGCTCCCACCTGCTGAGCAGCCGGCTCCAGCCATGGAGGGAAGGGTGGCAAGTGCCCGTTCGGGTGGTGACAGCGTGTCTCAGCTGGGAGGGCCCCAGCGAGTGCCAGGCCAGGGGTGACCCCAGGCCAGAAAGAGACATGGGGCAGCAGGCGTGACAAGGACCCGGGGGTGGGGAAGGAAGGGCAGGGACTCAGCCCTGCAGAGATCCTGGGCTGCCCCATTGGAACACGTCCCCATTGAAGGCAGTGCCCCGGGCTGGGTTGTGATGCCAGTTACCCCAGGGTAAAGCGGGAATCCTCCGGGTTAAGTCATTTGGAGCAGAATCCAGCCCGTGGGAGGAGGTGGCGTGGGAGGGGTCACAGCTGGGTGCAGAGCTTGGGGCGTGTGGGCGGCGAAGGGAGGTGGCTGGGGGAGCTGCCTCTCAGCCTGAGATCTGCAGGGGTGGGGCGGCCCACGGCGGCTGCTGGGGTACGTTAGTGGGGGGCTATTTGCTCGGACACTCCCCGCGTTGCTGGGCCCCAGCAGAGAGCCACGACCTGGGCCAACTGGGGGAGGGGTGCGGCCCCAAGTCAACCCAGACTCCAACCATGGGAAATTTTCCAGCATTTGTCATCAAGAAATGGAGCAACCGGCCCCTCCTTGCCCTGGTGCACACACCCAAGCGCTCGTACCTTCCCGCCCACCCAAGCGTGGCGCTGGGGAAAGGTTCCCCGGCACCTTGCAACACAGCCCATGGCAGCCTGCAGGGGGCGCCACACTGGTGGCAAGGCGGGGTGGCCCTGGATCCCCCACTGCCTCGGGTGGGATCCTCCACTGGGGTCGATCCGTGTTGCTCCGGTGAAGCCAAGAGAGCTGCAGCGACTGCCGGGAGCTGGCGCCATGCAGCGTGAATGTGAAATGCCCCCGGATCCGAACGCTCCTCTCGCTTGCTCCCGCGTGGCACAGGGGGAAAGGGCCAGCATCGCATGAAGGGCCACGGAGAATCGGGCCCCCTGATCCAGGCAGTCAGGCTTCGTAGCTTTCCCCCCAGTCCCCACACCCCTGGCCATGGCTACTGTGAAATCCTGCCAGTCGCCAGCAAGGGGCTGCGTGGTCAGGTAGCTAAGGACCCTGTACTCGGTCTCAGGAAGGGGGGTCCATACTGGGCCGGTCTCTGTTTCTTTGGGTGTCAGGACCCCACCTCTAAAACAGGGACCATAAACCAGCCTTCGCCTGCTTAGATTCTTCAGGGCAGGGCCGGTCTCTTGCTCTCTGTATGTGCAGTACTCAGGACAAGGGGGCCTGGCCGTGGCTGGGAGCTCCCAGTGCCAGGCCTTCGTGATACTCAGTGACGGGGCAGCCACTGAAATCCTGAGCCGTGCTCTGATCCCGCACTCCTTGGCAGGGATCAGGCCTCGCTTTCTCACCGAGCCGGGACACACTCAGCTTCTTCATGAGACTAGGGAAACCCAGACACGCACACGCCTAGTTCTGTGTCCCACACAGAAACCTCGCACACGCACACAAACACTGGCTCATCTGGATGCTGGACCCGCAGTCGAGTTTGGCCAGTTGGTCCCCATTCCAAGCAGCCAGTGACATCGGCGCTGGATACGAGGCAATGGCATGATCAAAGGGTGATCAGCCACGGGAGAGCTGGCAGTTCCTGACGAAACCCCTGGCGTGAGTCAGAGTCACACGGGACTGGACCGGGTTGTCAGATGAGTGACACCCTGATTCCAGGGCTCACCCCCCGTGAGTAATGCCATCACCCTGTTGGAATGGATGGACAGCACCCCGGGACCTGACCTAGGGGAAGCTGTGAGCTGTCAGGGAGGGAAGTGACACCATCCAGAAAGGACGCAGCCTAACACCAGGTTAATCTTCACCCCGGGAGGGTCGTGACTGAACCTCCAGGGAGGCTGGGGACATTAGAAGATCCGGGATTTCCCCTCTCCCCAGGGAATCCCCAGGGCGGGGCCAGGAGAGCTGGGCCATGTGCTGTCTCTGAGCTTGGCACAAATTCCCTGTGGCCATGGGGACGGATGGCTTGGGCCCGGGGGAGGGTGATGGGCCACGGGGAGTAGCTGTCCTTTGAGACACCTGCCGTCCCCTACCCCGCACCAGCCGCCCTGTCAGCCCCTGCGTGACGCAGTTAATGTCTCAACCTTCTTCTTCCCTGTCTCCCCTCATTTGGCCGTGGACACCTAGGCCCAGTTCTCAGGAACACCATTCCACCATCGGGGCAGGGAAAGAGCTGGGGGAATATAAGCCACCTTTAGCATGTGCTGTGTCCTGCCATGAAAATGTGCAATCAGCCGTACTGGGTCAGACCAATGGCCCATCCAGCCCGGAGTCCTGTCTCTGACAGGACCGGTGCCAGGTGCTTCACAGGGAAGGAACAGAACAGGCGATTCTCGAGTGATCCGTCCCCTGGCTGTCGTCCAGTCCCAGCTTCTGGCAGTTAGAGGTTTAGGGACACCCAGAGCAGGCAGTTGTACCCCGGACCATCTTGGCTAATAGCCGTTGATAGACCTATGCTCCATGAACTTATCTCATTCTTTTGGCCTTCACAACATCCCCTGGCAATGAGTTCCACAGGTTGACTGGGCATCTACACAGCCACAGTCACGCGAGCTGGGGTCAGGGGCTGGCTGCCGTGGGCTGGGCAGCCCCTCCCCCTTTGCCTGCATGACTAGGGAGAAGACTGTAGGGGGCGATGTCCCTAGGACCCCACCCAGGACTTCATCCTGCACTTTTCCGATCCAGTGGGGCTGAGGGCACAGCCTTATTCCCCCAGCCCCGTCCGTCCCGTCTTCATCTCCCTTTCCTCGCTAACCCCTGGGCAGCGATGGGAGGAAGCACCCAGACAAAGGCTGTGAGCCAGGGCCCAGCACAAGGCAGGGCCTGCCTCCTACCAGCGCTCGGGGGGGCAGTGGGGATTCCCAAGAGCGGGGTCTCAGTGCCAGGTGGAGGGAGCTTGGTTTAACATACTCTGGGGCAGGCAAGCCGGATGCTGGATGGGGAGGACACTAGGGGGCAGCAAATTGGACCAGGCTGTCCCACTACCAAAGCTGGTTTCTTAGGGGCTAGGGGGTCCAGGGGAGGGCTCGAAGCAGGGGCCCTGGGGCAGGAGAAGGGCGCTGAGGTTGCAGAGAGGTAGAGATCCCAGGCCTGACGCAGAAGCACAATACCAGTCCAGCAGCCGGAGGGACGTGTACAGAGCGAGCGGCTTTGGCAGGAACGTGGCTGCCAGCAGGTGGGCATCCAGTGGGATGAGGCAGTGACCGGGTCGGCTCCGATCATGCTCCAATGGACAAGCGCCCACAGCATTGGGCCCATCAGCAGCCTGACAGGGCCACACAGACTGGTCCAGGGGGTCCTGCCGAGGCAGGGCTGAGGCCTGAGGGGTGCTCCTGTTGCCATTGGCTGCCCTGGGCATGCCCCAAGACGTCCATGCACCCAGCACAGCTGTCGGACCCCCAAGAGGAGGGGCAGCATGGTTAATGGATTGCACACAGGGGTGGGCATCACAGATTCCTGGGATCCTTGCCCACCTCGCAGTTTGGCCCTGGGGGAAGCCCTTCTGTGCCTCGGTTTCCCTAGCCGTAACATGGGGCTGAGTTCTAAAGCTGTCAGGAGGGCTAGCGAGGGGATGTTTGCAGAGGGATTTTGGCAGGAAAGGAGCTAAGTAAATCACATTATTATTTCCTCCCATCTGCCCTGGAGTCACACACGGAGACGCAACCCCTGCCCAGCGTTTGGGGTCTGTGGCTTGTGGGGATAAATAAAGCGGCTTTGTATCGTTTTGCTTCCCTCAGCCATGAATCCAGGGTCTGTTAGAGCCCAGCAGGACTCTGAGGAAAGGGCTGGGCTGGGTTTTCTAAATACACAAATAGGCTGTTTATTTTCCAGCAGGTCGAATGTGAACTCAAGTTCCCAAAAGCCACAAAGGATTCAGCCTCTCATGGCCCTCTGCATCCTGGGGGAATGAGCCTGCCATCCCGGGGCGTTATCGGTTCTGGGTCAGCTTCTCCAAGCCTCCCAGGTTTAAAACCAGAGCAAGTGACATCTTGCCTTCCTGGCCCAATCGGCCAAGCCCAGTGCTATGTGACTGCCAAACAGCTGCCGTGTTCCGCCCCAGAGGGGGCTGCACTGCAGTGGTGGGGCCATATGCTGCAAAGCACTTTGGGACCCTTTCTGGATGAAAGGAGTCTAATAAGGATCAAGGTATTTTCCTTCTCTCCCCGGCCCCTTGCCCTAGTTCCTCCACTGCCCTGCAGGCTCCCGGCATCGGCTGAGCACTTCTGGGGCAGTTTAGCTTATTTAGGCCAAAAGAAAACAAAAAGGAGACAAATAAACCTAGCGCAAAGGCACAGAGTGTTCACAGCACTGCCCTCCCCCTCCGAACCTGGAGGAGGGGCCCAGACAGACAGCTCCTCAGCCAGGGTACTTGGGCAAAGCTCGGCTGGTGTGCACCAGGTGAGGATCAGTCCCAATGTCACCCAAGGACTGTGCATTCAGGCCTCTGACACAATCCTTCAGCACGAGCGTAGGGCAATGTTTGGGGCCCCGGCCTCCAGCGCCTCACCTTGACTCATCGTTTCCACGAGTGGGTGAAAAACGCTCCCCAGCTGAGCTGCGTTTTACAGCCACTTCGCACGGGCGGGAACGATTGTGCAAGGTGCAAGGGGGCAATGGTGAATCGGGCCTTTAGTGCTAGGTCGCTGGCTGGACTGACCATCCCCAAAGGACTGAGGCTGCTAGAAGTGGGGGCTAGCCCTGAAATTTCTCCTCTCCAAACCCCAGAGCGGCAAAACCTCCTTGTGGTTCAGGGTGTGCATGCAGCCACCCCACTACGGCTCCTGCTGCATAACAGCAGCGGCTGCTCCCCACACTGATCGGGGAGCCAGCCAAGCTCACCCAGCCCAGGCATGGGCAACAGGAGCAACTGGTTTATCTGGGTCAGTGCGTAGCAAGGCAGAGGCTAAAACCTGTTCCGAGATACCGTAACCTGCTTGGCACGTCAGGCTGAGCTCCCCCGGGAGCTCACACTTATAATTGCTTCTCCCAGTGATCTGCCAGTGTGGGCATGTCGGGGATGGAGTTTCTGCAGCAGTTTTGCCAGGCTGATGTGCCAGGGCGCTGCACCCTTGGGAGGAACTTTAGACAACAGCTCCTGGTGGGCTGGATCCCGTGGGACAGGCCAGGAAGCCAGGAGACCCAGCACAGGGGCGTGTTTGTTCAAGGTTAGATTCTGAGCTCAGTTTTCCTGGTGTAAAGCCAGAGACATTCCACTGGAACTCAGTGGGGTGAGTCAGGATTTACACCCGGATCAGAATCCAGCCTGAAAGGTTGAACATTTTAGGCAGAGATTTTTCAAATGTGCCTAAGGGGTTTGGGGGCTAAAATGCTTGGGAATCAGGAGACGTCCGAGGGCCTTGGGCGGCTCTGTGACTCTCAGCCCTGCTCCCCGCTCGGAGAGGGAGGATGGTCTAGGAGTTCAGGAACTATCGTCAGACTTGCGCTAAAACCAAGGCTCAGGTCCCTGTGTGCCACTGAATTCCTGCGTGAACTTGGTCCACTCACTTACCTAAGAAAGTATTTAGCTTAGTCTGGTAAAAATTATGCTGTGGTTCTAGGCACTGACCCAAAACCCAGTGCACACAAGGGGGTGGGGCAGGCCATGGGGGGCTTTTGGTGGGCATCAGATCTGGCCCCTTGTGTCTCTGCAGTTAAGCCCATTTCTGTGTGTGTTGTGATAGGGTCCCCCTTGCCAGGCACTGACCAGTCTGCATACAGGGAATTTCGCCCCTCCAATGCCAGGGCATAGGTCCTCTCCCATTCTTCCCCAGCTCCATCCAGCCGCTAAAGGCCGGGACCGCTGTGAACTCGCTGCATCAGAGACAGGTGTGGGGTAAACCCAGGACGTGGAAGCAAGAACCTCCTAAGTTCTAATCCTCACCTGGAAATCCTCCATGGCCGAGGGCGAGTCATTTGACCAGCTAGTGCCTCGGTTTCCCCATCTGTAAAATAATAATAACAGGACGGAACTTTAATTAGTTGGCATCTGGAAGTTCAAACCACTGTGTTACAATAATCCTCTGCCCCATCAGGTGAAAGCGTTCAGACAAACAGTACATACTATCACCTGTCAAGGGGGGGGGACAGGCACAGAGAGAGGACGTGACGCGTCCTAAGTCACACAAGGAGTCTGTGGCAGAGCTGGCATTAGAACCCAGAGCTCCCAGCATTCCTTCCCAGGATCAGGAAGGGAACCCAGGAGTCCTGGCTCCCAGTCCTGCGCTTTAACTGCTGGACCTGCCCCCTCTCTGCTTTACTGCTCTAAGCCGAGCCTTCCAGCCATTCCAGCTTGGGTGCATTAACCACTGAGCGGGTAACAGCCTTCATAGGGTAACGCCTGAGTGTCCACCCCCAGCACCCAGCCGGCCGCCAGACACCCCACACCTGGCCTGGGCTCTCCCCTCCTGCATCCTGCCCCCCAGGGCCAGACAGTCATAACTCTGAGGTTCAGAGGTTCTGGGAGGGTTCCAGTCTCTGGCACCAGCTGGGCCCTGCCAGGGAATTTCCTCCTGCGGTTCCCGGCCTAGCAAAGATGTCAATGCCCCGTATCTGGTTCCCTTTCCAGGGCCGGATTCTCAGCTGCATTAGTCCCGCGAGCCAGGGAGCCGGGCAGTCTGGGCCTGAGACATCAGCAGGGCTGGGGGCATTGGGGTGCTGGGCTGGGGGGGCCCAAGAGAGAGATTCTCCTACATGGGGCTGCCCCTGGAACTCCAAGCTCCTGGGCTGCCTCCAGCCCTGCGCCATGCATTGGAGCCGGGCGCCAGGCCGGGAGCGGGACACAGAGCGAGCGTTTTCTATCACGAAGCAGAACGGCTCGGGCTCGCAGGGGTGCCAGCGGGCAGCAGAGCCTGCCAGCCACTCAGAGAAAGCAGCTGTTGGTGCAGGCTGAGCCAGATCCCCCCCCCCAGCTCTGTCCAGCTGCCAGTTCCCCTTCTTAGGACATGGGCTGGGACGCGAGGGCGGTGGGAAGGGGGCCGGGGGCCCGCGGCATTCAGGCTTAGCGCACGCCGCAGGCAGGGTCACTCCGGCAGCAGCCTGCTCCCACCCACTAGTAAGTGGCAAACTACGACTCCCAGGCAAACGGGCTGGGGGGGATGCTCAGGCCTGTGGGGTTTGTGGAAGGACGGGCAGGGGCATAATCCTGCTCTCGCTCGCCAGGGGGTGACTGGAGCCAGTGGACTTATGGGGGGTGAGCACAGAGGGGACTAGGGGACAAGCGGGGGGCTCAGCTAACTGACGGGAACTGGAGGAGGCAGGCCAGTGGTGTTAGCTGGTGGGGCTGGAGGGCTGATGGTTTCCGTGGGCTGGGGGTGCTGCCCCGTGTGTCCATGAGCCAGGGACCCACGGAGCTGGCGTGGGGCAGGGCCCACGAAGCGTTCGGGCCGCTCCTGCTCCTGCTTCCATGTGTGGCAAAGCCCTTGCAGGCGCCGATGGGAGCAGGACTGTGGCCCCATTTCGGGGGGGGAATGGGAGCTGGTGGGTGGCAGGGCCAGATATGAGTCGGGGGGCAGGGCTGGCAGGAGGGGGCGCTTGCGAATGGGGTGAGAGGAGGGTCGAGGGGGCTGTGCTTGCAGCATGGGGAGAAAGAGAGATCCCCCTGCTTTTGTTCCCCTTGAGCCCCAGAGCTTTGGGTTGGGAGGGTGGAATGGGTCTGCCACGGAGAACGGCCCCTGGAGTATGACCCCTGACACCTGCCCACCCTGGGCCCTGGGGCAGGAGCCCCTCCGCCCCCCGCTGCCCACCCTCCCTGGCCCTGCCCTGGGGTATGACCACCCCCAGTCCCTAGTGTACCCTCTGGCTGCCATAGCCAGCACCCCCTGCACTGAGGGGGCCTCGTCTCTGGGGGGGGCATTCCCAGGGGCAGTTCCCACCCCCCTCCGCTCCCTCTCCTTTGCCCGGGGCCAGTCTCCAAAGGGCCTGAGACCGAGCTCGGGTTTTGCTGACTTCATTCAAGCCACAGACTCAGGGGATACCCCCCATACCCTCTGCCCCCCAGCTCGGATGGCTGCAGCTGCCTCCCTCCCGCCCGGAGGGTGCGGTTCCCCCCCGCACCCCCGCAGCCGCCCCGCCCCTGCCCACACCAGGAGCTGCACCAGCCAAGTGGGCAAGTGGAAAAGCAGCCCAGTGAATGAGCTCTGTGTCAGGCTGCAAACTGCTCCCCTGCCCCCCGCCCCAGCCCCAGCGGGAGGGGGAAGCCAGGCCGGTCTGGCCCCACAGCAGGGCCCAGCTGCCCTGGCCAGGGGACTTCCCAGCTCAGATGTGTGGGGAATGAGGGGCTCCATCCTGCCTGGCGCTGAGGGGGGATCTGCTCTGTGCCTCACCCCTATGGTACAGGACACCCAGATGGGGGGCAGCACCCCAGCCGGAGTCCCTGCGCAGGATCCCAGCCACAGGCCCAGGGAGCGGGCTCAATCCTGCACCTCCCAGCCCGGGGACTTGTCTTTAGACCCCTTTGGGGAACGTGCGTGGCCCAGCGAAATGCCAGCCGCCTGCTCCTGCCCCGTCTGGCCATGCCACACCCCAGACAGGGCAGGGAGAGGGAGGGTGGGGGGTTCCGGGGGCTGTCAGTCCAGATTGGGTCTGGGGGAGGGGGAACAGAGGCGGAAACTGGGGGAGTCAGGTGGGGGACATATCGGTCCCATCTCCTGTTAGAGCCAGAGCCCAGGCACAGCCCAGCAGCCCCTCCTGCCCCCCTGCCATGGGGATCTGGACTTTAACATGTACCCCGCCGGGCAGAGGGGGCTGGAGTCTCCAGACAGACGGCAGGCGTCTCCTACTCCCAGAAACCTGCTTCAGGTTTCCCGGTGCTGCCCGTCCCCGTGGCGTCGGAGCTGGTGCCCCACAGCTACAGGCGAGAGGCCGCCGGGGACGATGACGTACGTGGCGGGGGCAGGTTGTTGGTTTTTTAAAAGGTGCAACTAAACATTGTCCCCGTTTGGGCTGCGCCTCCCCGTGCTTTGCTCCTCTGCTTCAACCCGAAGCTTTGTGGGGCAGGGGCCATGCCCCCGCTCTGCCCCCGGCCCAGCCGGGCCTCGGGTCTGTGCACCAGTGCCCTCCCCTGCTCAGCTGTGTGTCAGAGTCTCTCTGAGGAGATTCTAAAGGAGATTCTCCCTTTGTTCCAGCCTAGCCTCACGGGGCAGGAGGGCGCGAGCTCTGACTTGGCTGTCACTGCGGCGTTCTCAGGCACCGTTGGGGTGCCGGGAGGTTTGGACGTTGGCTTGTGCTGCGGGGTCCCAGAGCACTGTACAGGGAGGCCGGGGGGTGCCGTGGTGCCACGGGGCTGAGCGGGGTCTAAAGAGCCGTGACCGCGAGACGAGTAGATTAGACAGAAGCGCTGCAGCCGGCTGCGAGATGCGGCCACCTCTGCAGCGGAACGCAGGGGCGGTGCTGGCCGGGAGGAAGCACGCCGTGTGTGACCGAGCCCGCAGGTGGGGATCCAGGATATGATGAGCTCCCAAATTAGTGTCTGCATCGGAATTCAGGCCAGCCAGCCGGTTTCCACCCGGGCTCTTGTGCAACAGAGCCACGGGCTCAGGGCCTCCGGTGAATGTCTCATGGGAAACAACAGCATCTCCTGCCGCACACGCCCCCAGTGCCACGCGCTGGGTCAGCACTGACTGCCCGGGGAGAGCGCCCCCTATGGGACCCCCCCCACCTCACTCCCTGCCGCACAGCGCCCCCTATGGGACCCCCACCCCACTCCCTGCCGCACAGCGCCCCCTAGCGCCAAGCCGGGTCACCACTGACTGCCCGGGGAGAGCGCCCCCTACGGACCCCCACCCCACCCCACCCCACTCCCTGCCGCACAGCGCCCCCTAGCACCAAGCCAGGTCAGCACTGACTGCCAGGGGAGAGCAGGTCTCCCTCCTGGGCTCTGTATTTGCAGCAAAGGGAGAGAGGGGGATCCCCTGCTCTTGCTGCTCTCGACCCCCAGAGCTTTGGGCTGGGAGGGTGGAACTGGCTCCCCAAGGGATGATGGCCCCTGGGGTATGAGCCCCCGCTCCCAGCAACCCTGCCTCTGAGCATGAGATCAGGTATGGGGGCAGCCCCCCAGGGTATTAGGGCTTGGGGCTCACCCTATAGGTGGGTCTGAGGGCAACCAGGGGGCCACCCCGATCCGGAGCAGCATGACAACCACTTCCCCCGGCAACACCCTTGTGCCCACCCGGCCGGCATTTATCACAGGCTCCGTGTCTGTAACAGGAGCTGTGCCGAGCCCACTCTAGCAGCCGAGCGCCAGGCCAGGAATCTGGTTTCCTGGCTCTGCTGTTACCGCAGCAACCTTTCAAGCAGGGATTTTTTAATTTGACAAGGGGCCTTTATATAGACATGCAGCGCTAGGCCGAGGGGGGCTCGGGCCCGTTACCCGATAGGGCCCCCCCGCCGCGCCATGCTGGCTCCCATTGTCCAGCCGGAGCTGCCAGGAGACATCCGATAGCCGGGGCCTTATCAGCACCGGGGGCAGCGTGAAAGCAGCAGGATGGGTTACAGGCGTCTGAGCCACCGCGGCTGGCACCGGTTCAGGACAAAATCTACCAGAGTGTTCCACAGCACCAAGCCACGGTACTGGAGTAACACTCGGACAAAGCACCGGAGTAACAGTGCTGGGCCGCCTGGCGCAATCACCCCACGAATACAGTAGTAATGCCGAGCCAAGGTACTGGAGTAACACTCGGACAAAGCACCGGAGTAACAGTGCTGGGCCCTCTGGCGCAGTGACCCCACAAATACAATAGTAATGCCGAGTCACGGTACTGGAGTAACACTCGGACAAAGTACCGGAGTAACAGTGCTGGGCCACCTGGCGCAATCACCCCACGAATACAGTAGTAATGCCGAGCCAAGGTACTGGAGTAACACTCGGACAAAGCACCGGAGTAACAGTGCTGGGCCCTCTGGCGCAGTGACCCCACAAATACAATAGTAATGCCGAGCCACGGTACTGGAGTAACACTCGGACAAAGTACCGGAGTAACAGTGCTGGGCCCTCTGGCGCAATCACCCCACAAATACAGTAGTAATGCCGAGCCACGGTACTGGAGTAACACTCAGACAAAGTACTGGAGTAACAGTGCTGGGCCGCCTGGCGCAATCACCCCACAAATACAGTAGTAATGATGAGCCAAGGTACTGGAGTAACACTCGGACAAAGTACTGGAGTAATAGTGCCGGGCCGCCTGGCGCAATCACCCCACGAATACAGTAGTAATGCCGAGCCACGGTACTGGAGTAACACTCGGACAAAGTACTGGAGTAACAGTGCTGGGCCGCCTGGCGCAATCACCCCACAAATACAGTAGTAATGATGAGCCAAGGTACTGGAGTAACACTCGGACAAAGTACTGGAGTAACAGTGCCGGGCCGCCTGGCGCAATCACCCCACGAATACAGTAGTAATGCCGAGCCACGGTACTGGAGTAACACTGTTGTGCTGGCTGCAGTAATGACCCCAAATACCGTCACAACCCCAGTCTGCTGCAGACCCCAGCCTGCTGCCATCCAGGTTCCCCAGTACTGGAGAACCGTTGAGCTGGCCCCAACGGCTGGGGGTTTGAGCTAGACAAATGCAGGCTGGAAATCTGGTGCTGCTCATTAACGTTGAGGGTCCATTAGCCAATTGGAGAATTTGCCAAGGGCTGGGGGGATTTTCCATCAGTGGCCATCTTTGGGGTGTTTTCCTGGGGGCTCTGCTCTGGTTCCAGCAGGAACGAAGGCAGGGAAATCCTCCGGCCTGGGCTGCACAGGAGGTTGGACAAGAGCGCAGGGTCTCTTCGGGCCTGGGAATCTGGGCAGCTGCCACTTCGATCCCAGGGCGATGGTGGAGGAGAGAGGCCTGTTCCTGCAGAGCCAGCTGGGCTCCTGGGGTTGAGGCCCCGCTTTGAGGAATGGGGTCAGTGGGATCGACGCAGTTGCCTGCGCCCCTCACAGCTGTTAAATGGCCCCAGACCGCTGAGGGGCTGCTCACGGATTAGCCCCATGGAGCCCCCCTTGCCCCTTAGTTGGCCCTGGTGGCGGGAGGGGGGTGCGCCTTCAGCGTCAGATGTTGAATGATTTGTGCCCCCGTGGATTGTCTTCTCTTCCGAGGCACGTGTGTATCGTCTTCTGAGCCCGACTGAAAACTCGAGCCCCCGCGTAGGCACCTCTGGGAGGGGCTGAGACGAGGCGGAGCACGGGTGCCCATGCAGGGAGAGGCGTGAGGCACACGTCGCTCCATGTGCATGTGTGTGTGTGCGCACGCGTGTTACCGGCTGTGCAGCACCTAACACGAACAAAGCTCCCCCGCTACAAGCGGGCCCCTCCGCTGTCTCTGTCCCTTTAAATCAGGGGAGCACTGGACCAGCATCACCAGCCGGGCAGCCCAGTCTCTGGTATCAGATCCTCCTGGAGGGAGGGGGGCTTTGCTCTTATTTAAAGTCACTGACCAGCCAACTCAGGCTCACTCTGCAAGAGCGCTGAGCCAGCCGGCTGTGCAGGGGAGCTCAGGTGAGCCCAGGGGCCGGACGGCTGTATGGGGAGGGGGGGAGCCCAGGTGAGCCCAGAGGCAGGTGGCTGTACAGGGGGGGAGTCCAGGTGAGCCCTGGGGCCGGGCGGCTGTTCAGGTGCGGCCCAGGTGAGCCCGAGGCCTGGTGGCTCTACAGGAGTGAAGGGCTACAGCCAGTGATTCCCCACGGAGCTGTCACCCCTGCTGTGATCTGCCCCCCTTTGCTCTGGTTGGGTCAGGGCTTTGCAAGTGGGGCCGGCAGCTGTCTGCCAGCTCTGGACACAGCCAGGCAGGTGGAGACCAATAGCTCTGGGTCAGAGCTTGCTTTGTGCAGGAGGTGGGGACAGGGGCAGCCAGGAGTGGAGGGGGCTCCGAACCTGTTTGTGACACGGGCGCCGTCTGACCCCTCAGCTCCACAAGGCCCCTGGACAGGAAGGCCCCACCTGGGCAGCTGCCACTGCTGCCCCAAAAGTTTCCCTGGGGGTCTGGCGGGCTGCATGGCCAGATCCTGCCCTGCCCCCCACGGGCCCCGTTCCTCCTTCCCCGGCACCTCGTGTTGGCCTTTCCACCACAACAAACCCTGTGGCAAGAGAACGGGGCTGACACCCACGCGGTGTGGGGCACGGGGTCTCCTGGCCCAGTCCCGGCTCGTGGCTCTTTGGTTCCCGGCAGGTAGGGGCGCCCGTCCCCAGAACTGCAGCCACTACTCAGCCCCCACGTTGGCAGCCTCCGTGAAGAGAGCAGGGGCTGGCTGGGGCCCACAGGCTGCTCTCCCCACCCATGGGTCCCTCCAGGCATGCTGGCAGGGAGGGGCTGGGCCCCTGCTCCTTGGTAGCCCTTCCCCAGCCCCCCATCCGCGCCACCCAGACCCTGGGCTCCTCAGCCCTTCGAGGTGCTTCTTGCAGAGCCGGCACGATGGCATCTGAGCTGGAGCGCGCCATGGAGGGGCTGATCGCCGTCTTCCACAACTACTCGGGCAAGGAGGGCGACAAGCGCAAGCTGAGCAAGAAGGAGCTGAAGGAGCTGCTGCAGAAGGAGCTGGGCTGCTTCCTGGAGGTAGGGACCAGCCCCCCAGGCCCTGTGCTAGCCCCGGGGGTTGGCAGTGAGAGGGAGGGAGCAGGCAGGCCTAGGGGACCGCCCCAGGCACTGGGTGCCCCTGCCATTCCAGCACAGGGACCACATGATGGCCTCTCCCCTGGGCCATCACTCCCCCGCGGGCGCTGGCCTCCCCTCTCGTGGGTGGTCGCCAGGGGCCGAGCAGGGATTTGAGACGGCAGAGCCATGCCAGGGCCCGGGACAGGACTGTTGCTCCCCCGGGCATGGGCCGGAGAAGGTTCCCACATGCCAGGCGCTGGGCTCCCAGCCCCTCCCAGGCTGACGGGTCTCTCTGGTATGAAGTTTCCCAACATTCCTCTCGAAAGTCCCTGGCTCAAAATTGCTTCTCCTCCCCCACTGCAGCTCTAAGCCTTCCCCTCCCCGCTGACCCCTGCCCTCTCCTCCCCCAAACTAGGGCCTCTCCCATCCAGGGCCAGGCGGATAGCCCATGCCTCCAGCTTCCCAATCCTTCTCTCTGGCTTGTCCTGAGCACAGGACAGGGGCCTCTCACTGGGGATCCCCCCAGCCACCTGGGCCCCTTTCCCCTCCCATAGGAGCAACCCCCCTCCCTGGGCCCCACGTGCTAACCCTGCCTCCCCTGGGGGTGTTTCTGCTGCAGACCCAGAAGGACGCGGGCACCGTGGATGGCATCATGCAGGACCTGGATGAGAACGGTGACGGGGAGGTGGATTTCAAGGAGTACGTGGTGCTGGTGGCCGCTCTCACCGTGGCCTGCAACACCTTCTTCTGGGAGGACACCTGAGCGGGGAGCCTGCACCTCCTGGAGTCCCCTAGAGCCACACCCCACACTCCACCCCCGTTTTGAGCCAGCCGCCGGCATCCCCTCTAACCAGCTAGACAGAGCTACTCATTAAAGGCACCAAACCCGCCCCAGTGTCCTGCCCCTTCCTCTGAGCCTGGGAGTGATGCTGAGCAGCATGGGGAGGGGAACACTGCTGCAGTGGGGCAGGGGGAGTTTTGTGGTGAGGGGGACACTGCTGCAGTGGGGGTGGGGGGGGAACTCCTGGTCCCAAGGTCGACATTATCCCTGGTGTTAGAAAAGGGTGGAGGCCATGCCCTGGCCCATGGGGCTGGGCTCAGGGCCCTCAGCCTCGGAATTCCCTGCAGGGCATGAGCCATCCATTTCCAGGACAGTGCCAGGTGAAGGAGAGTCGCCCCTCCGGTCACCCCAGCCACCAGTGAGACCACACACACACACCCCGCCCCACTCTCCACACCCCTCCCCACTGCTCTCTGCACCGGGCCTCTCAGACCCTCCTCCTCTGACCCATAAGCCAAGCAACCATCCCCCTCCCCAGGCCTTATTCCTTCACTTGCCCCTGCCTCAGTGCTGGGAGCACAGGCCCTAAGCTCTGGTGTAACCCAAGTGCCTCAGCCGGGATCACTGCAGAGGCAAATTTGGCCCTTTCTCTTCCCACGTTCATGCCCATTCGTAGCTGGCACCACATGGCCCAGGGCCCACGAGGCGGGACCCCTGCCCGAAGCAGGCCGGTCTCTGCAGGAAAGGGACGCGGGAGCCTCTTGGGAGGGAAATGGGGACACAAGGGGGATGGCTGGGAAAGGGGGCAGGAGAAGCGTGGGTGACTGGACAGCCTCCTGCTGGGGTGGTAGGAAATTCACAAACACAGTGCTGCACCCATTTCCCAGGGCGAAGAACCCATTCTTAGCTCCTTTCCCAAGGGCCGGGTGCGGCCAGGAGCCCAGTAAACAGCCTCCTCTGACTGGTACCCGCTGTTCCGCTGCGTGGCACACAGCGCAGGGAGTGCCACCTTGTGGGCCTAGCAGGGCTGACACTGAGCATGAAGGACGGACAGCTCCAAAGCCGCCCACCCGTTCTGTGGATTTGTCACTTCTCTGGGACGGTGGCAAAGCACTTTGCAAACTAGATACCGGTGCTGCTGAACTGCAACCACCTCTGGGGTGCAGGGTGATCATCTGGGCACAACAGTCAGGAACAGAGGGGGAGAGTCTATACAAGAATAAGGCGGGGGGCAGGAATCTTTAGGAAAAATGCCCTGGCATCATTAATGTCTGTGCAAAGCTGACAGGAGCTCAGCATTGACAAGCTCGTCAGAGGCAACCAAACTGCACAGAGATTGATGTGTCTGCGAGCAGAAAGCAAAAGGACTGGAGAGAATCGGGTGTGATTTGAACCTGTGAGCCCAAAGAATCTGATGCTGAGCCCCCCCCCGTTCTTGGCAGCAGGTTCTCATCTTCCCTTCCCAGCCTTTGCAAAAGAGAAGCTCGAAGCCTGTGATGCAGAAAACGGCATTGAATTCCTAGCAGCAGATAATAAACTGATCCGTCACAGCCCCAGAGACAAACCCACCCCATTTCAAGGGAACATATGTACTCGGTGGGATGTGATAGTCCTCTGACAACAATGTAAGCTAGGAGTAAACCCACTGCAGGCACTGGAGTTACGAAACTGAAGAATCAGGCCCACTAAGCAGGAAAGAACGCAATGATCCATTCAAGGGCTTGTTTAAAACTTCTTTTTAAATTGTTTTTCCATAGTGCAAGCGATATTAACCATGATGCCCAAGGCCGTGTTGCCAAGTAGGGTGATTTTATCATGAGCCTCCTGATATTTGGTGTTTTTCTTAAAGTCCCGGCTCCCGGAATTAGGAGATGGCAGGATGCTCTCAGCTTTCGTTTACAGACAAAAATCCTCGGGGTTGTGGAAAAAAGCTGGAGAATGGGAATCAATGCAATCCTAAAGGCTCCAGAACCAGCAGAGAAATAGAAAGAATCTCACACTGATTCTGTTTTAAAATCTCGGCATTTTTAATCCAAGCTTGAGGTTGGCGCTAATGCTGCGTGTGTAACACAGATGACATTCTTCACCACAGCCGCTCACTTCCGCAAATACAAAGCCACAAGCACAGGAGAGGGTGCATTCTCCCAGGAGTGCACAAATCTTGATCAGAAACCGATGTGGCCACTGCAGCTGAAGGAACAGAGCGCCGGAGCACTGACGTCTGTCCACTGCAGTGCTGGTGCACATGTGGAGTAATTCAATGAGGATCAACATCCATGTGAGTAAGCCTTATTTTCTTTTTCGTGGTTGTTACCATTTTGTTGCCAGTTCCACCCCCTTGGCAGGCCCAGAATGGTAAATGGGCTGGCGCCTTTGCAAGTTGAGACTGTTTCCTGATGATTGGCATCTCATGCACCACATTCAAAACCTTCATTTTAAATAAACCCACGTTGTTTTGGAGAAAACCTGCAAACCGTGAACGGAGTGTAACTGATGCATCGACCTGTGCCTGCGTTTGCAGACAGCCTAAGCCAGTAGCTCTGAGAGAGGTCAGCTGTCCAGTTGACATAGAAGCACAATGAGGGGTTTGTGTCAATGCTGCTAGCTGGTTTGCTGCTGAGCTGAGTAGGCTGGAGGAATTTCACATTAGACAGATCTGTACAATCAGCTGGACTTATTTTGGTGTCACGAGCGGGCAGTGCTTGGGCCAAGGACTTCCAACCCCTGAGCCGGGTAGGGTGAAGGGCCACAATCATCTGTCTGATAGATAACACACAGGAAGTGCAGGCTTCATCCACTCAGCGTGCTAATTACCCAGCCCTGGGGGATCCCCTTCTGGGAGCCCGAGGGGGAGTTCAGTCCCTGAGGCCTCTGCTGATGGTCGCTCTCACCTGGGGTTGGGTCTGAACATGGCCCTAGAGCGAGATCCTAACCCGGCCCCCAACCCTGGAACGGCTGCGGGGGCATGGCCAGACCTGCCACTGAGCCGGGTGCAGAGGCATTTCTCGCAGCCCGCTGCCCACCCTGCAGGGCAACTGCTGCGGCCAGGTGACCCCGGCCAGAGCAGGGGGACCCCCCTACCCAGCTGCTTCCAGAGGGGCCAAACCCCAGGGCTCCCACAGCTGGGCTCCCCCCACCCAGCCCAGGCCCCACACCCGCCTCGGGGCCCACAATCCCGGACCCACAATCCCTGACCCCCCCTTCCAGCCCAGGGTACCCCCCCCAGCTGCACTGGGGCCCTGCCCTCTGCCCCAAGTGCCCCCTATATCCCACCCTGCCCCCCCTCCTGGGGCCCTCAGCCCCCCCCCACTCAGATCCAAGGCTCCGCCCGTGAGGCCCTCCCAGGCCCCGCCCACTGCCCCAAGCCCCTCCCTCCCAACGGCCCCTCCCGAAAAGGGAGTGGTCACGTGGCGCAGCCCCCTCCCCGGGGGCGGGAAAGAGCGGGAGCGATCACGGGGTACACGGCCGCGCGAGGGGCGAGCGGGGTCACGTGGGCGCGTTCTCGCGGCTGCGCAAAACGCGGCGGCCGGTGGCCATTTTCCCCGGCTCGGCGCGCGGGGGGAGTAGGGAAGGAAGCGGCGGCCATTTTGTTTTCGGCGCTCGAGAGCGAGTGCGGCGGGAGCGGGCGGAGGGGACGGAGCCCCACGGAGCCAGCCCCGCCCCGCAGCCCCGCCCGGAGTCCTGGCGACCGTCTGCTTCGGTGACAGAGGGGCCGCGGCGGGCAGGGGGGGCTGCGGGGGGCCCGGCTGAGGGGCAGCCGGGGGCTGTGATCACCGTGTGGGGCCCGGCACGGCTCAGCGTCGCGGCTGTGACAGGCCGCGAGCCGGGGCTCCGGCTGGGGCCCCTGCCGTGCCTCGCCCCTGGTCTGAGAGCCCGGGGAGATCAGCCCAGCAGACCCCCCCCCGACCACTCCCGCCCCCCCACGCTCGGGGCCAGCGGCCTTCCCGCCCTGCGAGCCAGGCGTGGGGCTGAGAACCGGGGCTGGCCTAGGCCAGGCCTCCCTGCCCCCCCCTCCCCCGGTGGTGCCCTGCGGGGGGGCTCCTGTGTGTTATCTCCGCGGCTCGGGCTGGGCTTCAGCCTGGGGGCTGTGACTGGGAATCCAGCCCAGGCGCGGAGCCGAAGGGCGGGCCCACAGTCACACCTCCCTTGGAGGCCACAACCTTCCCCGGGCTTTGGGCCCTGCGCGGGCGATGGTTCAGACAGCACGGGCGGGGGGGGGGAGGGTGAGATGCCAGCTTTGGGGCTCCCCTGAGCCCTGGGAGGGGGGTTTTCCGGTTGGGACCCATGTTGGGCTCTTTGTGAACTGCCTGTGTGGGGACCTCGGTATCTGAGCGCATCCCAATCCCAGATGGAAGTAGCTGCCCTGCTGCTCTCCGAGAAAAAGCCCTGGCCAGACAGGCTGTGGAAATAAGCCGTGTTTCTGACGGCTCGTGTAATTCGGATGCAGCGTGGAAAGGGGCCCATGACTGCTCCTATAAAAAGCAGAAACGCTGAATGAGGTTATAATGTGTTTGGTGTGCAGTTGTGGGGCATAGCCTCCTTCTTTGGGCCATCAGCCTCGTGCAGGGGCTGCTTGCAGAGAGAGGAGCATTGGCATAATTGGCCTGGGTCTGACAACTGATGCCTCAGTTCCCACTGAGGTAATAACTTGGATAGAGGAACTATTGCATCCAGAGCCTTAATGCCTAGTGTGTCAGAAACTGAATCCAGAATCAGAAAGATTAATTCCTACTGCTCTCCTGCTTAGAAAATCATAACCTCATTTCAGAGGAACAGCCGTGTTAGTCTGTATTCGCAAAAAGAAAAGGAGTACTTGTGGCACCTTAGAGACTAACCAATTTCACTTCATCGGATGCAATAACCTCATTGAAACCAGCCAGTTAGAAATGATAGAGCTTCACCAGGCTGTTAATGGCATACATAGGTGAGATCTTCACTGAAAGTGGAGTTTAATGTTTCTGTGGCGTTAGTCTGACACACAGTTGAGAGATGAGATTGCTTAACTCATTAGTTTATTGAAACTTACCTTTTAGGACATTTCGCGATGCCATGAAATGTCCTGCTAGCGCAATCACATCACTGATTTACGTGTTTCTTGGCTGTTTCCACACACACAAGTTTGGCCTGGAAAATCTAACCAAATAATTTCATGGGCCCAGTTCTTCTTACTAAATCTGTCTATTGTTAATTTCAGACGATCGTGATCTGAAGATGGCTGCACAGTCAGCGCCGAAGGTTGTGCTAAAGAGCACCACCAAGATGTCTCTGAACGAGCGGTGAGGAAGTCAACAGCAACTTCAGCTCATAAGAAATTTTTACTTAATTATCACTGTGTCCAGTGTCCAAAACCAACGTGGTTTCTGCCCTGTTTTAACCTAACTAAAAAAAGGCAGGTGGCTATGCACCTCTGTCTTAAGCCGCAACAAATGTGGTACACAAGGTTAAAAGGGCAAATATTCTGGAGGATTTTGTCAGTAGCTGTTAATATTAAACTCTGAGACGTAAATGTGGTGGGATGTCTTATAAAAAAAAGAGAGAAACCTCGCACCCTCCCTTTTTCTTCCACGTTTTTACATTTTATATAGTTGACACTGCAGCATGGTAGCATGTTACCGAAGCTGCAGAAGGCTTGCTGCTTTGTCCAAGGTAGACACACGCATGTGGTCTGGCCTGTAAGAGGCACGCGGCAGGCCACCAAACCAGCCCAAAGGCTCTATAACAACGTTCTTGGGCCTTGTAAGAGACAAATGCTTTGCTTCATCTCCATCGCTTTCCTTTCTTGGCACTGCTCTTTTTTTCTCTCTTAAAGAGCCTTCTGCTCTTTCATGCCATTAAGCTTTTGCAAATCTTTATTGATGAACTAACAGTGAAGCTTCTGATCATATTTCACTTTCTCACTAACTCACTCTCAGATTAAATGTTAATATCATTAAGCCAAGGAGAAATTAAGCCGTTTATATGCAGTCCCTATTCCAGTGTGCACTGCAGTGAGCAGTAATCTTAGCCAATGCTTGCGGTTCATGGCTGGGCAGGCAGGCAGATAGTTAGGTACGGTACAGGAGAGTTACCTGCCTTTTAATTTTGTTAGTTCCAGCCAGACTGCATTGAGCACTTCCTGATGCTTAATTTCACTGTCATTTGTAGCTATTAGGATACTGCAGAAACTGATTACTGGTGAGGAAGCTTACATTCCTGGTGGTATGTTCATGCCACATAATTTTTAAAGGCAGAAAAATCCCTAATACACCAAAGAAATTCCCAAATGCCAAAGAAATTGTAGGCTAAACAAATGCACTCATATGGTGCACCTCTTTTGGTGATAGAACAGTCCTCCTTATAAGTATTATGCCAGACCCTTGATTTTCTGTTGTCAGAGTGACACAAGTCTCATAAATATGCTTACTGCCCTCAAACTATTAAACAGTTTTCCCCCCTAAACTATCTGTCTTGGCTTTTACAGTCAGATTTCAGTTTGCTTTCGTGTTTCTTTGTAATGTCTTCTCCTGTCTCTCATGGCCATTTCTGCTTGTTGCTTGTTTTTCATAACTTCTTCCACCTTTAAAAGCAATAACTTAAAACTTTATCACTTTTGAATTAATATGTTGCACTTATCGAAATCTGCATTTCCTATTCTAGCACGTTTGTGGAAAACGAGGAATACATAACTCGCATATGACATGATCTAAGTGTACCACTTTTTACATAAAGTTCATGGGATCTGGAGCTCCAGTCTTGAGAGCCATGAAATGCCATAAATGTTTGTAATAAAACTTTATTTAAACACCCGTTTTGTTCGACCTTGAAGCTTTACTAATATGCTGAAGAACAAACAGCCGATGCCAGTGAATATTCGGGCTACCATGCAGCAGCAGCAGCAACTGGCCAGTGCCAGAAACAGAAGACTGGCCCAGCAGATGGAGAATAGACCTTCTGTTCAGGCTGCCTTGAAGCTTAAGCAGGTGAGAGAAAGTGTCTTATTCCACTGCAGACAGTTGGTGATGCCTGTCAGCAGCTGGTGGCTTTTCAGGATATGAGAATTTTTCAAGATGTCACTTGAAAGTAAGAGCTGAGAATGTTTGGAGGGACTTCAAGAGAATTTCAGATTGTCACTGCAGATAAGCAATGCTTTATATTTATAGCCTGTTAATACTGCTTAGTTCAGTTAGTCAGTCGTGTCTTCTGTTGGTTGTTTGTTTTAAATCTCCTCCTTTGCTGTTTTTCCAGAAGAGAGAACAACCTGAAATTTCACAGCTTTTTCCCTCTCCCCCACATAAATGGTCTGATTCCAGTTTTCTGGATCTGCTGAATTCTTAATGCCTTAATCTAGCTGCTGTTGTGTTGCAACATGCTAGCTCTTGTTCCCTGTTCGTGTTTTTTTTGTTTTTTGAGGGGGCGTTGTGCCTGTTGTTGTTTTTTTTCTTGTTTTATGCTATTGCCAGCAGTTGTCTGAACAAGAACTACACGAATTAAAACTGAGTTCTTGGTTTCTCATAAATTCTTGCTAAGGTAATAAGAATCTTACTGTTCCTGTTATCCACATAGACTGACCAGAGCCATATGCTATTGAACAGCCCAAAAGTTGGCTTCCATTTGAATGTCCAGTGTGGAACAGCAGATCTGAGAAAGGTGTATTCATATTGAGTTGTACATCACATTTAAAAACAGTGTCTGTGCATTGCTTTGTGCTCAGTGAATGGGGTCTGCTGGATGTGAGCCCTTGTTGATAAGATAGTGATTAGAGTATGGTGCCCAAGAGGCAATTAGCAATGTTACTGGTGCCGAAGTGCTTCTTATCAGAGTATCTTGAACTGTAAAGAATGTACCGTGTTGTATAACCGTCTGTTAGAGCAGAGAAATACTTGAAGAGATTCTCTTGAAATTTGTATACATATGATGCATGGAAATAATTAAAGCATGGGTCTGGAGGGTCCTGCTACACTGCTTTGTGCTAGCTTTAAATAGCAGTTCTGCATGACTCGAATACAGTAGTCATTAAATATAATCCCAGACACCTTTGGGCACTCTAGGAGAGAACTGTGGAACGTTCCTATTTGAGTGGCTTTGTCACATAACTGCAATCTTTATCTTACTCTTGTGCTGGAGTTTGGTGTTTGTTCTTTCATGAAAGGAATGTAACTGCATTGTACTCAGAGGCCAGGAGCCTACTGTCCCTAAAATCAGAACCAGGTACTAGTAAGAGAAACTTTCTGTCTGGAGCTTCTAAACAAAAGCTATATGTGAATAATTCATGATTTCCATAGAAAGGGTTTTTAGTATAATCTCATAAGAGCTTCACTAGTGATATAAAAGGATAGGCCAGTCTCATTTTATAAAGTACACTGTCCCCTTTGTTTGCTGAGTCAGTGAGTGGCTGAGTCTGTGAGGAAAATACAGACCCTCTCGCTTTACTTCACTGGCACCTGTTTCACTTTTTCATTGGAACCATTTACACGCATGTACACACACGCTATATTTTAGGATTAAACACTGTTATGGATCTTGCTGAGCTGTTTAAGAACAAAATGTATGTTGAGTTTGAGGTTCATGTTGGAACTTCTGTTGGAAAAGAAGTTGGGGCACAGCTCTTTCTCAGTCAGCAAAGGTTACGGTGGTCCAAAGCCAGCTGTCGAGTCCTAGAGCACAACGTGCCTCTGATGCCCTCTCTTGTGTTGAGGAACTTGGGCTGCATGGAGGAGCATTATGGAAATGTGTATAAGTAAATCTAGTGTGGAGGTTCAGCCAGCAGATCAAGCGGAACATTGCATGCTAGGACTGGTAGCCTATATGGGTAGCTCTTTGGATGACAGCTACAATGTGTTCCTCTGGGAAAACGTGGAGACTCTAGTCTAGTTTAGTAGTGTTAGGGTGCTCTTCAGCAGTCATCACCAATTGACTTTGGAAGGTCTGTTCACTGGTATGTAGGGGAACTGGGACTGTTCCTCTGGAGGAGCATCTTGTGCAGAATATTAGGGTCTTGTGCGCCATTAGGGAGGCCATGCAGTCACAGCTATGAACTTTCAAACTCAGCACCCACGCTGCTTCGCTCAGGACAGCACCATTTCCCCTAATGCATGACCATCCCTTCCTGTGTTTTACCAAGTGCGAACCATTGTGCTTCAGTGTCCTATTCCAATGCAGACAGTACAAGGGGCAGGTTTGGCTGTGCAGGGTAAAGGGTTTGGTGTTGTAGACCTGTTGTGGTTCATCTAAAACTGTGAAATGCCTGAAATCTTATGATTGTACTCAAAGACAGCTGGTATGTAACAACATTCTAGACTCTGCTGGCCACTCTCCAGAGAAGTTGGGCCAAAGCAGCTTTAAAATTTGTTATACCATACATTTGTTTCTTTGTGTCTAATGCAAACAAATCCCCAAATTAAGGCTGAAATATATTGGGCTGTGTGGTATAAACTGGGTCTAAGTGTTTCCTTAACTGCCTTGAACTGAGTTATTGGTCATTTGAGAGGAGAAAACAATCTTGGTCTTAACTCTTGGCTCTTGTGGTTTTTAGATTGAAGCTTAATGCAGTTGTTTTGGAGAGGGTGAATATTCCTGTTTGTACTAGCTTATAAAGACAAATATGGAAGGGTTTAGTCTCTGTGGATGTCTGGGGAAATCTAGACATAAGATTTTTCCAGTGAGATCACTGGATCTGAAACTTTAGGCATATAATTATCAGAGGGTGAGTGCAAAGGTCTCCTGGTTGTAGACTATCTAACTTTTTCTCTAGGAGTTTGCATCAGCCTCATCACTAGTGCCTGAGCACCTTTCTCAAATAGAAAGCTGCAGCCCACCTTGGGGATTAGATGTCTATTTCACTTCCTAGCTGGGCTTACACTTGACAGACTGTCCCTCTCTAGACAAGATCTTTCTTGAGACCTAAATACTTTGCAGTGGATCTTGGGCCCTGTATAGATTCTGCTCCCTCTTTTTCTGGTGGAGGTATCTGCTTCCGTCTATGCCAGTTGCATGATAAGTCCCTGATAGCTACATGACTTTCCTGTTTTTAAAAAAAACTTTCATTCCAGAAGAGCTTAAAGCAGCGCCTGGGTAAAAGTAACATCCAGGCACGATTAGGCCGGCCAGCAGGACCCCTGGCTCGTGGAGCTGTTGGAGGACGAGGGCTACCTATGGGTCAGAGAGGTTTGCCACGAGGAGCCATGCGTGGTGGACGTGGAGCGAGGGCGTTGCTGAGAGGAGGCATTCCCCTCAGAGGTGAGTATATTGTTAATATGGGAAATAAAATATCCTCGGGGGTGGATATTCAGTGACTTCTTGCTAAGTTTGACAGCTAGCTTCTTGTTTTGATTACCTGCTTGACTTTTTTTCCTCACCCTATTAAAGGTCAGAGTTTACTTCGTGGAGGACGTGGTATATCCCCTAGGATGGGCCTGAGAAGAGGTGGCGTTAGAGGTCGTGGTGGACCTGGGAGAGGTGGTCTAGGCAGAGGAGCCATGGGTCGTGGAGGAATTGGTGGCAGAGGTTAGTGTGCTGACATTTGGGAAGGCATGAGGGCATTATTTAGAGAAGAACCTGAAGCAGCCTTTAACTTTCACCTTCTTGGTTAAAATATAATGTATATAAGCACTTGTGAAGTAGAATCTCCTCTATAAAGATACACTTGTTTGATAATATGCTGTACACTGGATACAAACACATTCTATTTTCATTTTCTGAATTGTTGGTTTTAGCAGCATTTGTGCTGAAAGGCAAGATCCTAGTTGGTGTCCCTGCTTCCCAGAGGGTTCTGGATAGTGGTGGTGAAACTGACCAGAGTCTTGTCAGTGTCACTCTCCTGCTAGGTGAGGCTTTGACTAGTGGCAAAGGCGCTTTCTGAACATCTGACTCTGCATTGTTTAACTTTCCACGTGGGAATGAACTGTAACCTTCACAACCATATGGTGCTAGAAACACATTCCTTAAACAAAAGTCTAAGTTATGCAGAAACAGGGGGATTAGCCCTCCAACCTTTACAGGGAAGCTTTCTACTTGCTGCTTAAGTGGCGTTTTTTCAGGCCCTGGTTTTATTAGTTCATTGGGAGTTTGAAACGGAATCTGTTTCTTAGATACTCGGTTCTTTTCATAGTGCAAAGTATTAAATTACGACAGTCCCCAAATGGGATTGGCACTAGAACAAATGTAGGTTGCAATCGCAACTGACCTAGTGGAATCATTAATGCCCAAACCAGGGAATTCTCAAATGGGACATCACAGCAACCAGAGCTCACTGAGCCACATTCTGTGGCTTTTTATTTTAGCAAAAGGCCCATTGATTTCTTTGCAGCACCTGTGTTCCTAGATGCTGTGGCAAATGGCAGGTAAGAACCTACAACTTCCTTGCTTTCGTGAATTAATATTGGAGATTAAACATTATTTCCTAGTCTTCCTGGTAAAATGACATTAATTCAGTCATAGTGGACTGCCAAAACAGGTCCGTCAGAACTAGATTGACACCGATTATAAATTTGGTGGGATAGATCTAGAGCAAGCTTATTCCTAATTGTTAATGGCATTGCTGCTTTCTCTAAAGCTTGGTAGGAGGGTGGTGGGGAATAAACGCTAATTATACTTGGCTAGTAACTGTCTAATGCATCAAGGCACTAATGTATGTTAGGGATTAATGCCAGGCTAAAATGGTACCAAGCAATGTAAAGTGTACCATAAGGCTACCTTATGGACCCTGCCTTTGATGCTGATGGGCATGCACAGCCCAGTACAAGACTGCGACTTCAAAAGCCATCTCAGTCAGTGGAGTCTTCGCTACTTTTAAAAGTAGACAGTAAACAAAGTACCTACACTGTATGGGCTGCCACTGTCTCCTGGATGACTCGGGCTCATTAGTGCTTTGATATGTAACAGGTATACAAAAAATAGTCCCCACCAACTGTTGGGTCTTCTTAGGCTCAGCTGCAAAAACATTCTTGGTTAAGTCTTGCTCAGTAATTCTAGATTACTGATGTTGCAGTAGCCGGGTTGTGTCAACACTAGATTATTTATACTTATTAAACAGGAAGTTTTCCCCTTTGAACGTGACAAATAGTTTGTTGCCCACAAGTAGGAAGTCATTAGTTCTCATACTACGTAAAGTAGACATGTATTTAGAGTGCAGTAAACATGTGGTGCCTTACAAAACGGGTTTAAAGAAAGGTCTCCCCTCCCAAGAGTTCGGTGTGATTTAGATAAACTTGCTGATAGCTCAGGGAGACATGAGAGGCTCTGTGAGAAGGAGACCCATGAAAATAGGTTTAAAGGGGGAAAAGAGGGTGCTTGTCACACTGGAGGAAAGAAAATATCCCATGCCCAGGGGTGGGGGTAGCGTGGGAGGTATTAGGATATGGAAGAGTATAATGAGCAGCTGAGGTTGCAGGGTGAACTGAGAGCAGAGATACTTGCGGGAGACAGTTCTCCAGAGATTTGAACAGACACTTGATGCACAAGAAGAGAGACAACCAGGGGAGTGACTTCACCGAGGGGCTGATCTGGTCAGTAGCAGAAGCGGCACCGTTGGCCTCCAGCCTGTCTCCACCTTGCATGTGGCTCTCTTACGTACCACGTAGTGCACAATGTGTCACTCGGTGGTCTCTACACTGAGTATTGTTATGGACCTGAGTGGCTGCTTCAGTGGCCTGCCCACCCAACTGTGTTGCCTTTCCTAGGTAGTATGGGGTGGCTGAGTTGAGGGCACACAGGCTGCTGTAGCTAAACTCTTACTAGTGGGATAAGATCAGATCCTTAATATGTTTGTTGCTCTCTCTGTCTGAGTCTGGTGGTGCATTTCAGTGTAGTACATAACTGTAATCTCGTTTCACTGTAAGGTCGTGGCATGGCAGGCCGGGGAAGAGGGGGCTTTGGTGGTCGTGGCAGAGGCAGAGGACGAGGAAGAGGGTCTGCACGTCCTGCATTGACCAAGGAACAACTGGACAACCAATTAGATGCTTACATGTCTAAAACAAAAGGACACCTCGATGCTGAGCTGGATGCTTACATGGCTCAGACAGATCCAGAAACTAATGACTGATGGTCCTTCTGATAGACTCTCATTGAAGTTAATGTGTATGTCAATGCCCATAAGCTAAAAATGGCAAAACCTGATTCATGCTGGAAGGACCTGCAGGAACAGGGGCGGCCCTGTTCTACCAAGAGATCAGATTTTAGTGTGTTCCTCTTACATTTTGATACTATATGTTGTATGAAACCTTTTTTGGATTGTTTTTTTATAATTTTTCCTAACTACTCTGAACATGAATGTGACAGACGAGCTGCAGATACAGCCACTGACATCAGTGCTGGTGTGTGCTCAGCACGCCAGCCCAGCTGCGATGGCGCACTACGTTCCTTTGGGCTTACGAAGGGGAAAAGTTGCATGTATGCCACAATCTGTGCTGCTTTAGGCGAAGTGCTCGTTGGTGCTGAATACAAGCTATGGGATCACATGGTTATATGTGCCTATTACTCTTAATGGTTTGTTTCAGGATAGGAGTTGATCCCATAGTGTAGCTAAAGGGTAAATATCTACGTTTGCAGTTTTATTGTTGCAATAACCTCATTTGAAGTAAACATAGCAAAACATCTCCCTCCAGGACTGCCTGCCTAATCAATCAAATTCAGGTTAAGGAAGATAGTGCTTCTCTATTGTAGACATGTCAATCTTTTATTTTGTACCAAAAGTTCATCCCCACTGGTTGCTAGCATTCTAACAGTAGTACAGAGAGGATATTCTAGGTTAAAGGCTGTTTTTCTGATAAAATTTGAATTTCATTTGTATCATGTTTGAAGGGATGGCACTAATGGCTTCTGTGTACCAAAATCTAGAAAAAGAACGAGCTTTTGTTTTAAGGATCTTGAAACAAGCACATTAATGACGTCTGTGAAAGAAAATCATGGGTAGAATAGTCTCTCCAAAATAGTGGGTCCAAAATTGGTTTTATCAACAAGTGCTGTTACCTTTCAGTGTAACCAAAACTGAATTTTCAATCCAGACCAACTTTGGTGACGTCTGTGGCGCATTTAACCTAGGTTGGCTTTAGAAGTTGAGAAGGGGTTTGCTTCTCTCTCCCCTCCCCCCACCCCGGAAGATTTAAGTTCAACCATCCTGTGAACTGTTCCAGTTTCAATGGAATCTTGTATTTCTTGTTCGTTGTGACAAAGGAGAAACAATTATAAAAACAATATGTGGACTTTGTGGATTTTTTTAGGTGCGGTAAGTTGTAAGAACAGTATTCTCAAGCATTAATTGTTGATCGTAAACTCTGTGGGATGAATAACTTTTCTAGTGGGTATGAGAAGACAATAAACTATCATCCTCTCCTGAATGGAACATCACAACTATGCTTAGAAAACATTCTAGGTTAGAATACATTCCTAACAGAGCTTTCTCTCCACTGGCTGGCAATCCATTGTAGCTGCAATTTCATTAAATCCCCAGTTCTCCTGGTATAGATTGGAGGGTGGGGAAATGCCTGGTCCTCACTGCCTGCAAACCTTTGCTATGCATGCTATTGCTTATCTAGGGCTTCCAGCTAACTTGTACAGGATGTCCTCGACGTTCAACTTACAAGACAAACAGAACTTGTGCCATTTCTGAATTGACACCCTGATTCAACTTATGACAATAGGTTTCGACTTTACAACGCTCGGTCCTGCAATGGAGTGGGTTGTGGTTATGACGTTTTGACTTACGGTGCAATTGTCAGAAACCAGTTGTCATAAATCTAGGGACTGCCTGTATACCAATTCAAAGGAGGAGACTGACACTTCTCTTCAGCTTTCCTTGATTATCCCAGTGTGTCTGGCTGTGATAACTACTATAATATGCAAGGGCATTCAGACTGCCAACTACCTTATCACACACATTAATGCTGTGATGTAACTTAGCGTTTGCACTTTCAGCAAGGATCTGCTTTACTAAACTACACGTGGGGCTAGTACAGATTTCAGTACTGCTATAGGATGTTTCTTCCCTAACCTCCAGTTAGTCCTGTGACCTATTCTCTTGAAAATACTCTGTCCCTATAACTCCTGCTGACTGTGCTTTAAAGTTGCCAGTTGAAGGTATCATATCATTTTTAACCAAGTATCTTAATCATTCATTAAAGGGACACTTTAGGTGCTAACGCTACCCCCAACACTTATGGTGTTAGATTTGTTTAACATATTACTAGAAATACAAAATTTTAAAAAACCAACCCTCCTTTTGAGTGGCAGAGACTGCAGAAGAGGTTTAGATGCAACCATCACAGCGCTATGCTGCTTCATGAATCTAAAAGGTTAAATTGACTGGGTTATGAGGAGGGAGACGCTATAAGTAAGAAAAGGACTTGTGGCACCTTAGAGACTAACACATTTATTTGAGCATAAGCTTTCATGAGCTACAGGAATGCATCGGATGAAGTGAGCTGTAGCTCACGAAAGCTTATGCTCAAATGAATGTTAGTCTCTAAGGTGCCACAAGTCCTCCTTTTCTTTTTGCAAATACAGATTAACACGGCTGCTATGCTGAAACCTGTCACTATAAATAAGAGATCAAACTCTTTACGGTACCCAGTGCATTCTTACTGTTTGTTCCCTTAAATTGTTTGAACACCTAGCTGAAATATTCCAAGAACAGAAAGGAGCCTAGGGTTCAGAACAACACTACCGTGCATGAAAAGCAGGCCCCTGCGCTACCCAGAATCTGTACATCCCATAAATTCTAAACATTGAAATGATAAACACTGAACGAGCTTGCCTGATTTATTCCAGTCACTAGGTGCTGCTGCAGCTCCGCCAGTCATGTAACATGTAAGAAGGATTCTCGAAGCTTGTTCCAGCCACGTTGTCCCCACATCTCTGGCTTTCTGAACAATGTTTGTTTCATGGTGGATTGAGTTCACAAGACACATATCCTCCCCCTTCCAAATCTATGTCACACCAGTGCCTTCAAACTGTTAGGTAGAGTAAATTCCCCTACCTGAACCTCACGAGAGACTTTACTGGATATTTTTAGTTTTCTTTTGAGAGGGCTGGAAGCGAGTAACTTTAGGGTTTGTTTGTTTTTTCATTTGGCAGGGAAAAGGACTTGCTAATGGGCTATGGAGGCTCTGGGTCTATGCTGAGAAAAAGAGGACTTGTGGCACCCTAGAGACTAACACATTTATTTGAGCATAAGCTTTCGTGAGTTACATCCGATGAAGTGAGCTGTAGCTCACGAAAGCTTATGCTCAAATGAATGTGTTAGTCTCTAAGGTGCCACTAATACTCCTTTTCTTTTTGCAGATACAGATTAACACGGCTGCTACTCTGAAACCTATGTACAATGAGATTCTGTTGAGTAGTTCCAACCACATAAGGATCTGTCTAGGAGACTCTGGCAGTCTTAACAGGGCTCCTGAAGAAGCAATAGGCATGGGGACTTAAGTTATCCAAGAGGTGTCTTCCTGCAAGGCTGGACCTGCCGCTCCTCTTGTTCTGTGGATCAGGTGGGCTCACAGGGATGCAGCTCTCATCAGCTCTGGCATATTTTATTTAAAAACAAAAAAGTGAAGCAGGTCCTGCCGGCAGGGCCTAGCTGTCACTGTGTGAACACCACTCTCAGCAGGGGCCAGAGGAACTGAGAGAGGAAGGGCCTGTGGGGGCTAGGAAAGCTGGTGGGTATGGCCTTTGTGCCTTTACTTCCATATCAGCCTGCGTATTGGTCACTGACAGGAACCTGTCCCTTGCTTCTGCTATAGGGCATGGTGTGTTACATCCTCAGCTCTCCACAGGTGAAATAGAAACAACCACACAGCTTAGCCTGAGCCCTCAGACTTGGAATTGCCAGCCTGGATCAGACCCTTGGTCCATCTAGTCCTGTTGCCTGTCTCTGACAGTGGCCGGTACCAGCTACTGCGGAGGAAAGGTGCCAGAAGACCCAGTGAGGGGATAACCTGCCCCGGGACACTTCCATGCAAACACCCCATAGTTACAGGCTGGCTTTGAGGCCAGGAGGATTCTGAGAACAAGGATTTTTAATGACAAGAGTGGGTCCCTCTGCCCTCCAAACACACGAGAAGCCCTGCTGAGCTCAGTGGGACCACTCATGCATGAGACATGTCCGTGCTGGAAACTACAATGCCTCGTCTTTGCTTGGCTTTTACCTCCTGTGTATAATTACCACAGGGGAAGAACATCCTTTGCTGCCTCAGGAAGACCAGGACTTAGGCCTGATCTGAAGTTCTCCCACCCTAGGCATGGGAGATAGGAGAGCGACTGTTTTACTGCCCTAGCCCGGCGGCAGTTCTGCTCGGTTACTGTGCTGTGCAGATAGATAGACTTTTCGGCAGATGTAACTGCAGCCACAGGGGACGGTTTCGCAGTGTAACTACCCGTGAAACCCTCCCCGGTGCAGACAGATAGGCCTGAGTCTATAGCTCTGCCCTTGTCTCGCTGCTCTGAATTATTGGCAACAAAAGTTGCCCGGTGAAAATAAAGTGTCAACAATGTAAGTGGAGAAGCTGAAACTGCAGGAGAAGGGGATAGCGCTGGCCACCACCCCCTTGGGCTCCCTGCTGCTCTCCCTTCCCCTCTCAGCCTTTTGGGTCGAAATCTGGACTAAACCCCACTGTTGTTAGGGTCCCTCTGGTCTGCTGGGGCTTTGGAGCAGCCCAGGTGTTGCCAGCTCTGCAGGGAGCAAGGAGGAGGGTCCTGCCACGTGAAGACCATTCCGGCTCCGGCGCCAGGTGGAAAGGTGACCAGCAGGTGCTAGAGCCAGGCAGCTACAAACTGCTGCTTTCCCCCATGGTTCTGCAAGTGGCCCCTCTCCTGATCTGGGTGCCCTGGCCTCAGTCCCCTCCAGTGCAACCTTCAGCTGCTCTCTGCAGCCCTGCCCCAGATGCGGGGTCTCTCCCCCATCCAGCCTTGCTGCATGCCCCCCTGTCCAGCTCCAGATCCTGGGTTCCCCCTGCCTTACCCTGGGTCCCCCACCCAGCCCTGCTGCTAGCCCCTCTCACTGCCCCCCTTCTCAGCTCCAGAGCCTGCCCCCCCAGCCCTGCTGCTAGCCCCTCTCACTGCCCCCCAGCCCTGCTGCTTGCCCCTCAGCCCTGCTGCTAGCCCCACTCACTGCCCCCCAGCCCTGCTGCTTGCCCACCAGCCCTGCTGCTAGCCCCTCTCACTGCCCCCCGCTCAGCTCCAGAGCCTGCCCCCCAGCCCTGCTGCTAGCCCCTCTCACTGCCCCCCAGCCCTGCTGCTTGCCCCTCAGCCCTGCTGCTAGCCCCACTCACTGCCCCCCAGCCCTGCTGCTTGCCCACCAGCCCTGCTGCTAGCCCCACTCACTGCCCCCCCAGCCCTGCTGCTAGCCCCACTCACTGCCCCCCAGCCCTGCTGCTAGCCCCTCTCACTGCCCCCGCTCAGCTCCAGAGCCTGCCCCCCACAGCCCAGAGGCATCTGCTCTCTGCCCCCCGCTGCCCGCCCCTTGCAGCCCCCCCTGGGGCCCAGCCCGGCGTGGGGCGGGCTGAGAAATGTGTCAGTCTGGGGAGCTGGCAGCAGCCCCGGCTCGCTATGGTAGGTGGGTCGCTATTGGCCGGGAGCCGGGCGACCTCCCGTCACGGCGCCTCCCATTGGCTGCCGGGCTCCAGCGCCTCACGCGCTCCGGCTTCTCCTTTTGTTATTGTAGCGAACAAGTTGCGAAGCGGGGCCGGGCCGGGGGCGCAGCCGGGGGGATGCGGCGGGCGCCGGCGTGAGGCGAGACGGGGCGGCGGTGAGTACCCGGCCCGGCCCGGCCCGGCGCCCGACAGCCCCCCCGGGCCGGGACCTCCTCCCCCCGGGCCGCGCGACCCCAGATCTGCCCCCTCCCGGGGCAGGGACCCCCCCAGATCTGCCCCACCCACCCCCGGGGCAGGGACCCCCCAGATCTGCCCCACCCACCTCCGGGGCAGGGACCCCCCAGATCTACCCCGCCCCCGGGGCAGGGACCCCCCCAGATCTGCCCCACCCACCTCCGGGGCAGGGACCCCCCAGATCTACCCCACCCCCAGGACAGGGACCCCCCAGATCTACCCCCCCCGCCCACTCCCTTCAAGGGGCAGTTTACTCCTACCGCCGCCCAAACACACACACCCTAGGGTCAATGCAGACTCCAGCTCTGCCCCCTCCCCCAGGCCAGCCCTGGTACATCACGGCTGAAACCCAGACCCTCCCCCATCACTACACTAATGCATCCCAC